CCAGACCCGAGCCGCCTCAGACCGTCCACGGAAACACGCTTTTACTCTGCCGGCCATCGCACAGCTTTCTGTCCGTCTGCTGGAGCGGCTGGCCACTGGAGAGACCGCTTCCTCTCCAACTGGTCCTTCCCCTCCTCCCACCCGCCGCACCCTGGCACCACCATTCCCACCGTTAAAGCCAGAGCCTCCCAGGGATGCATTCTAGAGAGATCCACGAGTCTCAGAGCCCTCCAAGGATCATGATGTCAGCGTTGTTGGTTACCGCAGAAAATGAAAGCAGCCGGCGCCCCGACGGGAGAGGGCTGGGAGGCGTCACCGCGGATCCTCCTCTTAGCACGGACGCCGGGCAGGGAGGCCTGAGTTCTGCTGGACGATGCTGACTACATGGGTTTTCATTTCAGAACAAATCTGCAGATCATCCAGAAACATACAGGGGCCGGCGCTGTGGCGTAGCAGGAGAAGATGGCCCAGGTGCTTGGGCCCCTGCACCTGCTTAGGAGACCCGGAGTGTCGCTCCCCCTCTTCGTGGAGGAATGACACTAAACCCTGCGCTGTTCTTTCGTCTGCTCGGCCCTCCCCGGGTTTGCTGCTGGTTCTTCCCGGGTTGGCTACTGTCCCTTCCACCTCCGTGGAAGGGCAGTTCCCCCTGGCCACATTCCCCACTTCCGCAGGGGAGCGGCACACCGCCGGCCGGCTCTCTCGGGGGCTGCACAGGTGTTCCTTCGGATGTTCCCCTTAGATGTTCCTGGTGCATGCCGTCTCTCTCCTCCTTTATAGTCCTCCTCCGCCAATCCTAACTCGGCTGCCCACACGCCGAGTACGCTGCTCTCCAATCAGGAGCAAGTCCTACAGTTAATTGGTTGAACTGGAGGCAGCTGTGTAAAAGCTGTTTTCTTCTCTCCCAGTGCCATATTGTGGGAGAGCAGATGCATAGAATAAGTCCCAATTCCAGTAACTTATTCTAGTCCGAATTGCTCCCCACACGGAGGAAGCTCCTGACTCCTGGCTTCGGATCGGCGCAGCTCCGGCCATGCAGCCAATTGGGGAGTGAACCTGCGGATGGACGACCTCCCCCCCCGCCTCTCTTTCTCTATGTGTAACGCTGACTTTCAAATAAATAAATAAATCTTTAAAAACAAAGAGACATTATACAGTGTCTTTGTATCCATGATCGACTTCATCATAGATTGATATCAAATACATCTGGAAGTCTGGGTGCTGTGTCCCTGGGCTCTGCCTCCAAACCATCAGGGAGCCTGTGGCTTCCTGTGTCACACAGTGCATGGGACACGGCCGCTTCTCCCTGGCCGCACTGCTCCGCCGCCGTCTGACTGGTCCCCTTGTCCCCAAGCCCCACATGAGCACTTCCGGGGGTGGAGAACAGAATTCCGTACATGCAGACTACCGGGGCCTCGCCCTGGCTCCCACACCCCAGAGGCAGGGACCACCCCTCGATGGGCGGCCCCCTCCAGCTCTGCGCCCCACCCCGGAGCCCTCGGTGGGGTCCAGAGTGCAGGCATCCGGTCCCACTCGGGCCTTTGGTGCTCCGTGTGCCGTAGCGCCTTCCCCTCCTTCACTGAGACTGGGCTGAGACGCTGCCTCCGAGAAGCCTCCCGGTGACTGGTGACCATCTGGGGCAGTTCCCTATGGCTCCCAGCCCCTCGCCATCACGTGAAGTACATCACGGGGTACTTGGTGCCCAGTTTCTTCACTGACCACTTTACAAGCTGGGCTCTGGGCTCCGGGTGGACGCGTCTCTGGGGGTGGTCTCTGCTGTAACACAGGCCGTTTTGTCCCTGACACTCCCAGTAAAACTTCAACTTGTACCTGTTCATTCTTTTTAAAATATTTATTTATTTACTTGAAAGTCTGTTACACAGAGAGAGGAGGAGAGACAGAGAGAGAGAAAGAGAGAGAGAGAGAGAGAGAGAGAGAGTCTTCCATCTGCTGGTTCACTCCCCAATTGGCCGTATTGCCAGAGCTGCGCTGATCTGAAGCCATGAGCCAGGAGCTTCCTCGGGGTCTCCCACGCGGGTGCAGGAGCCCAAGCACTTGGGGCATCCTCCACTGCTTTCCCAGGCCATAGCAGAGAGCCGGATAGGAAGTGGAGCAGCCGGGACTCGAACCTGATACCATATGGGATGCTGACCCTGGACTTGTTCTTTGACTTCTGAGTGTAGCCATAGTATTTTGTCCAAAGCACAGGTAATTTTAACTTTTAAAAAAGATTAATTAGCTGGCTCCGCGCTCAGTGGCCACGCGGACGTCATCTGCAGCACACTGCTTCGTGTCCTCTCTCGCTCCACGCCACCTCCCGGTCAGTCGGGCTTATGTCCTGTTCATTCCCTTTTCACGCGTGGCCCAAGAGTCTGAGGGCTGGAGCGGCCCAGCCTGGGCGGCAGGCATCCGTCCTCCCCCGCTGTCCTCCACCACGGACAGGGTGCAGACCCGCAGAACCAGCTGGGCGCTTGTAACAGACGGAGCCCCAGGCCCAGGGATTTGGCTCGGGAGCCCTGGCTGGAGGGGGCCCAGGAACCAGTGCTTTGCGCTGCTGGGAAATCTCGCGTGCGCTGTGTTTAAAACCCACTGGCGCCGGTTCGAGTCCCGGCTTCTCCACCTCTGATCCAGCTCCTGCCAATGCACCTGGGAAAGCAGAAGATGCCAAGTCCTTGGGCCCTGCACTCACATTGGAAGACTCTCCTGGCTCCTGGCTTTGGTCTGGCCCAACCCGGTCGTTGCAGCCAATCGGGGACTGAACCAGCAGATGGAAGACCCCTCTCTCTCTGTCCCTGTAGCTCTGCCTTTCAAATAAATGAATAAAGATTTTTTAAAAACTTTAAAAAAAGATTCGCTTTTTTTTCTTTTAAGGACTACTGGGCAGCCTGTGCAATGTGCCAGTGTCAGGCAGAGTCTCAGAGGGCGGGGCCTGGTCTGCTAGATTTTAACATCTGCCGGCCAGTTCCCAGTGCACGGCTGGGGTGAGAACCATTGGCGGGCCTGGGGGTCTCGTGTCTCTGCTCCCACCTGTCTGCCCCCTGAACAGCCGGGCAAGTTCCATCATTTTCCTGCGCCTCGGTTTCCGGCCTATAAAGTGAGGGCGATGCCGGCAGGTGCCTGCTGGCGAGGCGGAGCGAGCAAGATGGCGTCCCGCTGGAGGGGCCCGTGATGACCAGGCTGGCTGTGCAGGGAGCGGGGGCTCCCGCTGACTGTCCTGCCTTCTGGAATTCCTTCGCGGCCCCCAGCTGCCGCTCCCGCCCTCCGGGGCTGCGAGAGGCACAGGAGGCCACGGGGTTGGGAGCCCTGCGGTTACTTATTCCTGAGCGTGAGTCAGGGCTCCGAGCGCCTGGCTGCCTGTCTGGGCCGGAGCCTCGCCCGGGACAGCCCGGATGCGAGCCAGAGGGGAGGGGCAGCCCTCCCTTCCCTGACCCCCAGTGCCCTCCCAGAACCATGGGGAGAGGGCGGGGGAGAGGGCAGGCGGGGTCACAGCGCAGTGAGCACTGACTCATTCCCAGCAAGTCAGCTCCATGAGGCAGGCAGTTGCTGTGCCCATTTTACAGAGAAGGAAACTGAGGGTTGAGAGCTGAGCTTTACCTGTTCCGGATCCCAGGGTCCAGCTCCCAGGGGTTCCAGGCAGCCAGTGAGGAGAGGGGACGGTCCGCGGGGCATCTCCCAGTCTCCGCAGGCCTGGTCAAGTCCACTTGCGGTGTAGGAGGAGCCAGAGGGGTGAGAGTACCCCCACAAGAAGCTAGGGGTCCTGGGCCTGAGACCCCCTCGGCCCCAGGGTTGGCGGGGGAAGCCCCTAGAACTTTGAGGAACCACCAAGGCTGCACCCCTGCTTCCCAGGGTCAGCCCAGTGCCCCCAAGGGTGCGGCACTGACCAGCAGCACTGGAGGGAGGACCCCTTCTCCGGTTCGGCTGGGGCCCCCGCTGCATGTCACAGGGTCCCTCAGCGAGGCCGCCAGGGCCTGGCCAGCTGTGGTCAGGGAGCAGCAGCCCCTGGAGCTGCCTGTGTGCCAGTCCCAGGCCCTGGGCGTGCGTCCCCTTACGGGGCGCCACCAGGGCCCGACTGCCCTGCAGCTGCCCTAGAGAGCATGGACAGCCTGGCTCCCTCCAGGGGGCCCAAGGTCATCCTAAGGCCGCCTGCAAGTGGAGGAGGGAGGAGGAGGGTCAGAGGCAGAGGAGGGAGGAGCCCCCAGTGTGGGAAGCGCAAGCAGCGGACTGTCCCCTGGAGCGCCACCCCGCAGAGCCCCTCTCTCACCTCGAGACCCATGCCAGGCTCTGGCCCCCAGACTACAGCCCGATCCACGGGTGTCGGCTGAAGCCACCGACTTCCTGGCAATTTGTGATTATGAGGAAGCAACCCCCTGCCGCTGGAGACCCCTCCTGCTCCGCTCGTCCCGGGGCTGGGTCCCCCCCCAGCCCAGAGCCCGCGAGGCCCGGCTGAGAGTCACGGCCACCCCAAACCTTCCGCCCAAGTCGGGTTTTTCTCGGTGCCTTCATTTCTCCCGGCCCCCCTCGGTGGTGGGAGGGTTATTTTTGTCGAAGTCTGGGCAGGTGAGTGGCACTGTCCTGAATTCACCATGTAAACAGAGAGACGGCAGCCTGGGGAGGGAGTGGGGCAATTCTCCAACCCCCTCCCAGACCAGCTGGAACGTTCCTGTGTTTTGGATCTCGGGAGAGACTACGGGGGCCGTGAGTCGGTGGACAGAGGGATGAACCTGCTCCCTGTGGGTGGGAAGCAGGGTGCAGCTAAGGGCACCCCAGCAGGGCTCCCCATTGTCCACCGCCCCCCCTGCCCCCTGCGCTTGCTCAGAGCCATCTGGGGCAGGGGCAGGGCAGTCCTCGCTCCACCCGTGACCGAGATGGGGCAACCCCGTGCCGTGTTGCCCGATGTGGGCTTCTCCGCCCCGCATCCTCGGAGGGCTTGGGCAGGAAACCCCTCAGTCCTGCCTGCCTGCCCTCGACCCAGGGAGGAGGCAGAACCAGACCCAGACCACGCACTTGGTGCTGTCGATTTATTCGCCGTCAATGGAAACGCAGCCGGACCCTCACAGAACCACGAGGGGCGGACACACAGCTCGAGAGAACCAGCCCCCTCCCGGCTCCCCTCTCCCCTGCACGCAGAGTGGCTCTTCCCAGATCTGTGCTGTTTCATGGGCCCCTCCGGGCCCCCTCTCCCATGGGGCAGAGCTCTTCAGAGGGCCCCGGACCAGGTCCCGCACAGGCAGGCACCACGGCCACTGCAGCCTCCCTGGCCCTGCTCCCCGGGCCCGCCCCGCACCCCGCACCTTATGGAAGATGCTTTCCCCCCTCGTCCACAGCCCCCCCCCCAGTCTCCAAAAACTCCCCTCGCCCCTCCAGCTCCAAGGAGCTCCAAGCTGGCTTCTGCAGGTCAGAGACGGGGGGCGTCTGTCAGGCTGAGCGGTGACTGCCGGCCTGGGTCACGTGTCTGCGGAAGGCTCGTGCCAGGTGCAGGTGGGGGTGCGGGGCTCAGCATCAGTCAGGAGCTTGGCCGTGGGAACCGCGGCCGCACGTGGACCTAATGGACCCCCAGGTCCTTTCCTGTGGGGCAGCGTTAGGCAGGCGCGCTCCTGTCCGTGTGCAGCGATCTCGCTTCGAGGTCCCTCCCCTGCAGAGCAGGGGGCAATCACACCACAGCGGGGTCGTGGTGCTGCCTGTCAGGACCCACAGGCCAGCATGGCTGGGGAGATGCACGGATGGATGCCCTCTGACCCCAAAGTTGAGCGTGTCCCCACATGGAGGACTTGCCAGTGGGGGCGGGGGTGTCTGGGGAGTCCCCGTGGGTCACGTGGAGCCACGGGAGAGGCCACAGACACGAGGTCCTTTTTATGGGGAGGTCAGGGGCGCTGGGGGTCTGAGAACCAGATGGGAGGCAGGCGAGGCACGGCCACTTCTGGGGAAGGGGGTTCTGAGCGAGGACGGCCCTGCGCGTCCCACACGGGGCTGTGTGGGTGCAGGGTGGGGGTCTCTCGATGCGTGCCGTCCGGGAGCCTGCCTCCGTGTCCGTCAGCCCCAGGGGTGGGCTCAGGGCTCCATGCGCCACCACTTGAAGGCCAAGGGCTGTCGGCGCACGTTGGTGCCGCAGTGCACCTCGCCGTGCAGCATGTGGTACGGGGTGAAGTCGTCGATGAAGGTGCAGCGCAGGCCCAGCGGCTCCAGCAGGGACCGCACCTTCTCCTCCAGGCAGCAGCGGCCGTTGATGATGGGGCCGAAGGGCTTGGGGATGCCCAGGTGCTTGCCCAGCACCAGCAGGTTCACCTGTGGCAGGAGGGAGGCAGAGCTGCACCTGCAAGCCCCCAGCCCCGACCTTGGAAGTCGCTGCTTGCCCTGCTCGCCCTGTGCCGCTCGGCGGGGGCCGGAGGAGCTCTAGAGCCTGGGAGCCCCTGCAGAGCTCACCAGGACTTTCTCTGCCGGCGCCCTGTCTGCGCCATGGAATCCCAACCTGCTGGGCTGCAGCTGATTGGACCAGGGCGGCCAGCGGACCCAAATCGGACCAATCAGATTGTCCCTCTGGGGAACGGGAAGCTGACCCTGGGAGCCTCGGGATCTGGCAGGTACAGCCACGGTCACTCGTGTGCCCAGGGACAGAGCAGCCACGAAAGGCAAACTGCGGGGGGAGCGCGGGAGAAGGGAGCAATGCGGACACAGAGACCAGAGCGGGTTCTGCCCCCCCAGAGGCCTTGCTGAGCCGCCCCGGCCTCCGCTTCCGGCATCCTCCAATCTCCCCCTGGCCGAAGCCAGCTTGGGTGGCCTCTGCTTCCTGCCAACACCAGAGCCTGAACCCTTGCACAAGTTGCTGGGGGCCCACAACCAATCACAAAGTGGCCCCAGGGGACAGGAAGGAAGGAGAGAGCCAAGCCGGCCACAAAGGGGAAGGAAGGGTGGCGTGAAGGCTCCCCCACCCCCGACCCCACCCCGGGTGTCGGGGGGGTGAGCTGAGTTCCTCTGGATGTGGGGCGAAGCCAGGCGACCCCTGCCGTGTGCAGCAGGACCCCCGGACGCAGTCCCAGCTGCCCACACATTTCAGAGGCAAGCACAAGGTCTAGAAGCACCAGCACAGTCCTCAAGGCTCAATCAAAGGCCACTTCTTCCACGAAGCCTTCCTGGATCCCCAGTCTTATCTCTGAGGCTGGACACACGTTGTCCCACCCCACTTTATGGTCCCCTGAGAGGTGAGAGCCCTCCCCTCCCACAGAGTGGACCGGGAGCTCCTGGAGATCAAGGGCCAACTTCTGTCATCTCCGAGCCCCCACAGGGCACCCGGAGCTAAGTGAGGGGGGCAGGCCGCCACCAGCTGGGAGGAAGGGAGAAGGGGCCCCTGTGCACCAGCTGAGGCCACCAAGGTCAAGTGGCTCGCTTCCCTGGTAGCCGCGAGCCAGGCCTGGCCCCTGGTGGTCAGCCAAGGAGAAGAGAAGCCCTCCTGCTGGGCGCCACACAAGCCCTGCTGCCCCCGCCACCCCCTGCCTTCCCCCAGGCGCCGCGGCCCGGGCGCGGCCTCACCAGGTCAGGGAAGAAGGCCACGGCCTTTTTCTTCTCGGGCTTGAAGAGCTGCGGGATGTCGATGATGTCACGCTCGGCCAGGCCCAGCTCCCGCTTCAGCACCTCGCGGTTCCAGTCGATGCAGCTCTGGCGGGGGCGGGGGGCAGAGTTGGGGACACCCAAGGGCCCCGCGTGGGTGCTCCAGCCCCGTGGCTGACTGCTGCCCAGTCGCACCCTGTCCCATCCTCCGCCCAGAGCTCAGGCGTGCGAGTGTGGACAGCCCACGGGCTTCCTGATCCATCCCGCGGCCACCAGGACAGGGCTCCTTGTAGACCCCCCCCAACCTGTGGCTCATCGTCCTTGGCCTCTGTCTTCCCCCACACGTGCGGCTCACACACTCACTTCCTCTGGCTCAAGGAGGGGACCGAGCCCCTCTGTCCGCAGCCCCCGGCCCCTGTACCTGCACAAACTTGTTGAAGCTGATGAGGTTGTCATTGGAGAGGACCTGGTTTATGGAGATGGTCTTGACCCGCCTGTCGCCTGTGCAGGAGCGAGAGAGACACAAGAGGGGATGGGGCGGAGAGAAGGCAGATGGAGGTCACCTGCTCTGGGCGGCAGCCAGGCGGAGGCCAAGGTCACAGCCTCTCACCTCCCTGGGCATCGCCTGTCAGAGCTCAGCTGGGCTGCTGTGCAAGTGTGGGGGTGTGCAGCAGGGGGTGGGGGCCTGGGGTTCCTACACCAGCAGGGGATGGCTGCGTGGCAGGGGGCCCCCCCAGCCAGCCTGCAGGGCTGCCCCAGAGGCGGGGCTGTCCAGGAAGGGAGACACGAGCCAGCGGCTCACGTCGGCCATACATGAAGCACATCCCACAGCCAGGCCCTGACCAGGCCAAGGCCAAGGCTCCCCAGGCCGTGTGCACACTCCAGGCACACAGGTGGGTCCAGTCCCAGCTGCACACACTCTTGCTCGGGCCTCTGAGTGTCCCATGCTAAGGTATGAAGGGAGCAGGGAGGGTGAGGACAGAGACGCTCATAGGCTCAGCGAGGACCAGAGAGGCAGTGCGGCATGCATGAGACACACAGCTTGGGGCAGGTGCATGGGTACCTGATCGGGAACACTGGCCTCGGAGCCCGCGTGACGTCTCAGCCGCGGCCTGGGCCTAGCCTCTGTCTGTGGCCCCTGGGAGGCCCCTGCTCACCCCCTAGCCCGGCAGCTTGGGATAACGTTGCCGGGCCTGCACCCGGGACCCCCCTGCCTGCAGACGTGGCTCTCCCAGGAAGGCCAAGGATCCTTCCCCCCACCCCCGCCGGCACATCAGACTCGGATCGGAGGGTTTTCAAGATGAGATGTGGTCCCTTCGGGAGCTGCTCTCCCACTGCCCTGCCAGGCTCCTGTGTGGTGAGAGGCACAGGGACCTCAGCAAACACAGCGAGGGGCCCTGGGAAGCTGGAAACCCGGGAGTGTTGGTATTTTCCTGTCTGCCTCCCCTGGGGCTAAGAAAATCTCTTCCTGGCCAGAGACCCCTGGGGTCTCCGACAGAGAGGAAGGGCCCTGGGGGAGGGCAGGAAAGGGAGTGAGCGTGAGCGCAGCCGGCCAGCCCTCTGCTCAGAATCCCACCCGGACCAGAAGCACCACCCCCAAGTATGCAAATGCAGGTAGTGGTTGTTTCTTTCTTAACCCAATCATGGTGTTTCGGTTCTCTTGGACATCGGGGCTCCCTTGGACTCTGAGACAGGTGTGGGGGAGGGTCCTGGTGCGTGGGCACAGCCCCGCTCCCAGCCCAGGCTCCTGCCCCAAGCATCCACCCATGCCCGGATGTGCTGGGCACCTTGGCGGGGTGAGCAAGCAGCTCTTCGCTCCCCAGCTGCTCGGCCAATGCCCCTGCAGGGCTGGGTGAGATGCCAGGCCCCACCCAGGGGCCCCACCCCAGCCCTGCCAGTGTCCGGGCCCCTGCTGAGGGTGGGGGGCTGCTCGGGGCTCCCGTAGGGTGTAGGGGTGGAGACAGAGGCTGCGCGCCCCCAGCAGGCAACCCCCCGCCCCATCCATCAGCGCTCACTAATGAAACACAGTCACTACACTAGGATCTCAAGACCGGGACCACAGGGCGCTAAACCCCAAGCTCGGAGCCTCCTGAGCAGGTCCTGGGGACACCCCCGCAGCCCGCCGTGTCCCCACACCGTCCATGCCCGCCCACGCCTGCCCTCGCCTTGCTTTGCCTCAGGCCCAGGCAGCGGTGGTGGGGAAGGCTGGCGTGCAGGGGCAGGAGTGAGGAGCCCCACGCGGAGCTGGGGGGGGCAGCCTTGCTCTAAAGCTGCCCAGCCGGGGGCCGGCGTGCAACCTGCGGATTTAGACGCTCGCAGGCCCCATCAGAGCACCTGTGTTGCACACCCAGCTTCGAGACCTGGCTCCGCTTCTTGCTGATGCGTGCCCGGCAGGCACCGGGTTCCTGCCGCCTGCGTGGGAGACCCGGATGGAGCTCCTGCCTCCCAGTTTGGCCCACCCCAGCTGTCGAGGGCACTTGACGAGTGAGCCAGTGGTCTATGGGAGTGCGCGCGCTCTCTCTGCTCTCCAAAAAATGAAATTGGGCCTCCCTCTCTGAAGCCACAGTCGGTCTTAGGGGAGGGGCGGGCGAGCCGTGAGGGGGCCGGGCCGTTACCCACCGATGACCCCCTCGAACAGGAGGGCCCTGCCGTGGCCCCACTTGCGCTTTTCCTGGAAGAGTTTGAAGCAGGTGCTTGGGCTGGCCAGGAGCATCCGGAAGCCCTGTGTGCAGAGGAGGGGTCGGCTGAGCTCCAGCCTGGCCAGCCCGGGGGGCCCCGCCCCTCCCCAGGCGCACCCCCCAACCCCTCACCTTGCCATCGGGGGCGGGGACGAAGCTCAGAAACTCGTCCACGTGGCCCACAGCCAGCCAGTCCACAAAGAGCTCCAGCGGCGGCTGCACCTTCTGCGCGTGCAGGAAGTTCCGCACCACCTGCGTGACCCTGCGGCCGCTCGACCTGGGGAGCGCAGGGTCAGAGGGCGAACCTCGCTGGCAAAACCCGGGCTGCTGCTGTGTGCCGGGAAGGCAACCCGCAGGGCATTCTGAGTCCCACAGGTGCGCTCCGGATGGGCGCTGAGTCTGGTTCTAACAGTGTTGCGGCACCGCGTGGCTCGCTGCCCCGGCCACTCCACAGCAGCCACCACCATGACATCATCACCCTTCCCCGGCACTCCAGGGCCACGCGCCACACAGCCTGGAGCCAGGCCACATGCCGCACATCCCGGAGCCAGGCCACATGCCGCACAGCCCAGAGCCAGGCCACGTGCCGCACAACCCGGAGCTCACTACTCTCTGTGCGACTGTGCCTCACTTTCTTTGTCTTATGCCTCCCTTCTCCTGCTCTCTGGAACAGATCTGGGGTCAGTCATTTACATGCTAGTATGAACAAGCCTTGACTTGGGGGCGCTTCTCCCAGGACCGCTAGGGATTGAATTTTTCTCTATTACTGTGGGCTGACAGAGCCTGTGACCAGCCTCGTCTCCTTAGTTTCAGAATCAGATGAAATGAAAGGGCTGGTCGGCCTCCATGAGCGTCAGACACCCCCCACGTGGGTGTCAAACACCCGGCCCCCAACACCCAGGGCCTTGGTTCCACTGCTTCCTCTTTCTGGTTCCCTTCGAGGGGTGCGTGGCCCCTCCCCCCCATCACCAGCACCCCCCACCGCCCACCCCCTCGCCGCTCTTCGCTCACCCAGGCAGGTTGCCCCCGATGAGGATCCGCCCCAGGGGGTACTCTTTCCCGTTGGCCACCACCGGGGGGCTGACCTCCAGGTTCCCGAAGGAGTCCAGGCCGCTCACTGACCTGTCTCGGGGCTCCCGAGTCACGTAGCCAAAATCGGGACCCTGGGGGCCGGAGTCAGATGGGGCAGAGTCAGATGGGGGCAGTGTCAGTTGAGGCGGAGTCAGATGGGGGTGGGGCACAAGGCAGAGCTGGAAGCCACTTGCTGGGCTCTGAGCTCCTTCAAGACAGGACGGGTGTGGCCACCCATTGCTCAGGTGGACAGACCTGGTCACCGTCCCATGCGTGCAGAGGCCGGAGGTTGGACCCCTCGGGCCATGCTTGCACCCCAGGGCGCAGGGAGACAGGCAGGGCTCTGGGGGCCCCTGCTCCCCTCAGCAGATACGGAGCTTGAGACCACGGCACCCCCTCCCTGCGCGGCCAAGTCCAGCCCCACGGCAGCCAGCTGGACTTGTGCAGTGACTTGTGCCCGGGGCCACGGGGCCACAGGCTCCTCCCCCACCCAGCCCCAGCCTGGGCCTCCCCCGCCCCCTGCCATCGAGGGCCAGACAGAGCTGAGGCTGACAGGGGTCCCGTCTCTAGGGCACGGAAGAGGTCTCCCCGCTCTGCTCAGCGGGGTCCTGGCCAGCAGCCCCTCCGCCTCTCTATCGCGCTCCGTTTATCACCGACAGGACCGGCCCCTCCCTGTGGCCCTGGAGCCCCGAAAACCTTCACAAACACGGGGAGCCTGGGGCTGCACCTCCGAGAGCGGAAGTGACGCAGCCACGTCACACAGAGGCGAGCCCGGGGCCTGGGTGCTTTCCTCCCGCCCAGGGACCCAGTGCGTGAGAACACAGGCTGCCCCGGCCTGGCCACCCTGGAATGTTCCAGAACAACATATCCTGTGCAGTGTGAGCACGGCCCGAGGCAGCGCGGGGAGCTCCTTGCCGCCAGTGTAAGCCGCACCTTCCGCGGACGCCGTGGCACCCGCACCCTCGCCCCTGCGGAGCCAGGCCCCCGGGCGGGGCCCTGCCGCCCACACCCGGCCTGCGCTCACCAGGATCCTCTTGTAAGGGAAGTCCTGCAGCTCCCCGTTCCGCGGCGAGTCGAAGACCACGGGGAAGGTCTTGTGCGGCGCCTCCACGTAGCCCAGCTCCATCTCGTCCTGCGGGGAAGGCAGGGACGCGGGCAGTCAGGACACCCCCGGCTGGCGCAGGCCGGCTGAGCCCTCGGAGGGGGCGGACAGGGGTCAGAGGCCTGCTGGCTGGGGGAGGGGCTGCAGGCTCAGAGAGCCGACGCGCTTGCCTGGGGTCACACAGCGAGACAGAGCCGAGGGTAAGAACATGGCCGTGACCTTGGGGTGTCCCCCTGCTGGGCCAGGGCAGGATGGATGTAGAGGGGACCTCGAGTGGTCTGAGTGGGACAAAGAGACTGCAGGGCACTGGCCAGTCCCTCTCCCTCCACCCGTGGTCACAAGAGGTCGGGGCAGGTCAGGGGTGACTGCCCTGGTTTGTGAGGCAAGATAGCCCCACACTGATGGAGGGCACAGCAGTGAGAGGCCCCCCAGTTCCTGCAGGTTGCACCCAGCTCTTCCCCAGGATGTGCCCATGTGGAGGCGCTGTCACGTCCAGGTGACAGATGACAGCGAGGAACGGAGAGGTCCAGGTGTTTGTCCGAGGGCACACAGCCAGTGAGCAGGCCGGGACCCAAACCCAGCCCGTCTTGCTCCGGCGTCCTGTCCCGACCTCCCTTGCTGGTCTAGTCTCCAGCCAGAACGAAAGCTCCCTAGCTTGGCGTTCAAGGTCTCCCACCTCTGCACCCACCCCAGCCCTGGCCAGGGAGAACATTCCTCTCCTGCCTCCTGCCCCGGGCCTGTGCACCTGCTGGTCCACCGCCCTGTGCAGCCTGGTGGTGGGGCGCTTCATCCCTGGGCACCTGCTCCCCTGAGAGTGCCTGCAGGGGCCCCCAGAGCCACACGACCTGCGGGAAGTGTTTGACGGACGGCGGGAACCACCCTCCCACCTGCCGAGTCTGGTCCAGGCCCGGGCCCTTCCTCCCGGGGGCATTCGTGGAGGCTTGAAGTGGAGGGGACGCCGGCTCCTCCGGGGCCTCCTGGCGCTGCCGGCACCCTGGCCGCCTCTGCCGTGGGATAGCAGCTCACCGCATCGGGGGCGGCCAGCCTCAGCGCTGTCCACAGCACTGTCCACAGACGGCCCTGTGGGCGTGGCCCGGGCGTGGCTGGCTTAGGAGCCGGGAGCACCACCTGGGTAGGCCTTCCTGGGTATCTCTAAGGAGCCCCGGCCAGGGCAGGCCAGCCTCCCCCTCCGGGGTGGCGCCCGGCGGGCCCCTGCCCCGTAACCATGGCTACCTGGATCCAGCGGTCATTGCGGTTCTCGGCCTGCGGGCAGATGGTCAGCTTGCAGCCGGCTTTCTGGGCCAGCTCAGCCACCGCCTCCACAAAGCACGTGTTGTTCCCCACCCTGCGGGCGAGGCCAGGGAGAGCGGCTGAGGACAGAGCCGGGGCGGGGAGGCGGTGGAGGGGCCCGGGAGGGATGCCCACGGCCCCCAGGCTCACCGGCACACGTACACCTCCAGGGGCGGCTGGGTGCTGGGCGTCATGATCCACGGGGCCACGCGGAACACCACGGTGTCGGTGAAGATGGGGGACTGGGAGAAGTCCTGCGGGGGGTGGGGTGGGAACCGGGAGAGGGAGCACTGGACGTGGAGCCCAGGGGCCTAGGGTGGGGGTGGGGAGGCTCTGATACTGTGAGGAAGCCCCTTGCTTCTCAGCCAGCGGGGCTGGAGGTCTAGGTCCTCCCTTGCAGTGCCACGGGGCCCTCCCGGCCCCTGCCCCGCCGCTCCGCCCCACCGGCGCCTACCTCGTTGGAGTCGTCCAGCAGGGCCGCCCCCTGCCCCGCCCCCTGCCCCGCCGCCCCGCCCCACCGGCGCCCACCTCGTTGGAGTCGTCCAGCAGGGTGACGTGGAAGGAGAGCAGCCCCGGGAAGCCGGCGTCGGGGAAGCAGAGGCCCTCCACGAAGAAGCGCTCCTCGTCCCCGTGGAAGCGCCGCACCTCGTATGACACCTTGTCCTGGCCCAGCACGCACCTGTAGGCCTTGCAGGAGTCTTCAGGACCTGGGGCGGGGGTGGGGGACGAGGGGGCGGTGACTCCCAGGCAGGCCCCGGGGAGCATGCGCAGCCTCACCGCACGTGGGTGTGATGATGCCTAACTAGCACCTGCCCCTGGCAAAGGCAAGAGGGGTGTGCAATGCCCAGAGTGGCCACAGCTGGGAGGCAGCCGGCATGGGCGTGGCCAGTGGGTGTGGCTGACCTTGCCGACACCGGCGTTCAGCTCTTTTTGGAGGGTTTAGTGGCATCCAAACAGCGTTTGCCCCTAGCCCAGAGCTTCTGTTTCTGGCTAGTTTGTCTACAAGACCATGTGCACCGGCGGGGGCCGGCACTGTGGCTCAGCGGGTGAAACCACCGCCTGCAGAGCCAGCATCCCATGCGCTGGTTCGAGTCCCAGCTGCTCCACTTCCGATCCAGCTCCCTGCTAATGCGCCTGGGAAAGCAGTAGAGGATGGCCCAAGTGCTTGGGTCCCTGTACCCACATGGGAGACCCGGAAGATGTCCAAGCTCCTGACTTTGGCCTGGCCCAGTTGAGGCATCACAGCCATCTGGGAAGTGAACCAGTGGATGGAAGGCCTTTCTCTCTCTCCCTCTCTTTGTAATTCTGACTTCCAAATAAATAAATAAATACATCTTTGGGGGGAAAACTACACATACAAGTAAATATCATTTATCTAGACAGGCTATTTCAAGGGGTTATTTAGCCACTCATTTGCGTTTTTGTGATTCTGGCGCCAACTTTGTAAACCAACAGTCACTTTTGTTCCTGGGAGACACAGCCCGAAGCCTGCGGAGAGGAGAGCCAGGGCGGACTCCGCCGAGTGAGGACCGTGCTCTGGCCCGGGGGCTCCTGACGCTTGCGCATGGGTGGAGCCAACATTGTCGACGCTGAGAATTTCAGGGCGAGCTTAGACTATGTTTTTAAAATTCACCCACCGAGAAAACAACCCCAGGCCAGGTGCCGTGCAGGGGAAGCCAGCCGATGGGTCCCAAAGCGCCCCCCGCCCACTGCTGGCTGCTCTTCCTGGGACCCCCAAGGCAGTCCCTGGAGCCCTTGCAGAGCTGCCCAAGGCAAGGAGGCCCCGACTCACCACAGAGGTGGAAGACCCGGGCCCGCTCAGCGTCCGAGCTGGAGGTGTGCAGGACAAGCTTGTGGTCATCAAAGAGAGCCGCAGGGCCCTGGGTCCGCAGGACCATCACGGACATGTCTTCCAGGTCTGCGAAGCCACATGGGGGCTGGCAACTTGGGGGGCCCTGTCCCCTGGCACCCGGTCCCCCTGCCCAGCTCTGCAGGCACTGGACCCCAAATGGAGCAAACCATGAAGCCCCATGCTCCAGGCGGCTGTGCATGAGGGTCCCATGGGAGCAGCTAAGCACCCTGGGACGTGGCCGCCTCCCTATGCTGCGGGTGCTCTCAGCAGAGGCTGGGGCCTCACAGAAAGGCTGGGCACCTTGGAGGTGTCCTGACCTCTGACCCTCAGCATCCCATTGCTGAGTTGGGGTGAGGATACCCTCCAACTTGGAGGGTTATGCAGGGGCCTGGCAACGGGAGCGCCCTCTGCTGTCCTGGAGGAGGGGGGTGGTGAAGCCACCGTTTCCAGCTTCCACCCTAGCACAAGTGCCCGCTGGCCTTGGGGCGGCCGGGGAAGGCCGGCGGCCAGCCTGAGATGGATTCTATGCAACATCAAGGCGTGGCCCAGGGCGGGACTGCGGACCCCAGTGCTGCCTCCTGGGCCCCATCTGTGGGTTGGAGCCCCCGTGCCATAACCGAGCAGGGGCCCTGGACGCCCAGGGACCCCTGTGCCGGCCCCCTCACCTTCCAGGCAGCGCACGTGCTGGTCAGAGTTGTCCCGGACATCGCAGCTCAGGTCGTCGCGGTCACAGTTCACCAGCAGGATGGCCCCATGTCCACTGGGCCCCCAGACCCACTGCCGCTGCCGACGGCACAACAGGGCAGGTGCTGGGGCCCCGCCCAGACCTGCGCCCCTCCCCCCGCCTGTTGAGCCTTTGTCTTACCCCCTGGGGGGGACCCTGTCATGGAGGGACCCCCGCTCCAGAAATGGCAACGGCCCCCTCTGGCCACACCACCAGACCACAGAGCTGCCTTTCGTGGCTGGCTGGGCTATGCCTCCAGCCCACGTCCTGTTTCTCTGCCTCCCACCCACTCCTTCCTCCCGCTCCACCTGGAACGCCCCCCGTCTTCATCCCTGCAGAGCCCAGCTCCAGCGCACTGCCTTCCAGAAGCTTCCCCGCTCGCCCAGCCCAACCTGACCGTCCCCCTGAATTCTCAGTGCATCAGTGCCACCGCCGTGCAGCCCAAAGTTCTGGAAGCTTCATACTTGGCAGGGGCTCTGCACATCATGGCCTGCGGGCCACATCTGGCCCACTGCTTGTTTTTGTCAATAAAGTTTTATTGGAACACAGCCACGTCTATCAGCTTGTGTACTGACCCTGGCTGCTTTCAGACTACACAGGCGGGCCCACGATGCCTAAACTCCCGTCTAGTTTATAGGAAAAGTTTGGCAATGCTTGGCCCAGAGCTGTGCCCAGGCCTGCGTGCCTCTGTGCCTGCTTGTCTCTGGTGGAGATTTTTCTCCTGGTCACAGATGACCCCGGCCATGCCCGGTTCTCGCTTGTGTGCCCTGACCTCAGCACCAGTCAGGTGGCAGGGGGCTACCCGTAATGACCTTGCCTCTTCCAACCCACCCGACAGCAGCGCCACACGCCGTTCCCTGGTCCTGGGCCCCAGGCAGGGGCTGCCTACCTTGTCCACGAAGTTCCCGTCCTGCCTGCCCTCACAGTTCAGGTCGCAATCCAGAGAGATGTCTGCAAGAAGGAGGCAGTGGACGCCCCTGTGTGGCTCACCGGAGCCCGAGAGGCCATGTTGCAGTGCCCACCAGGGGCCGGGCACCAACAACACATTTCTAAGAAGACACAGCCTGGAGATGGGTGTGCCCGTGACCTCGATCCCTGGGATGGGAACTAGGCCTTGGAGGGGGAAGGAGGGTCAGAGCAGAGGCCCAGACCAAATGCTGCCTCCTCCAGGAAGTCTTCCTGGAGCCCCTCCTCTCCTGCACACTGACAGCCCTCGCTGTCTGTGGCACCTTGCTGGGAGCTCAGGACTCCCGGGACGACCTTGGTGGGTGTGAAGCGGCCCTCTGTGTGAGACAGTGCGACCACCAGGACATGGGTGTGAATCTGCACTCTGCCCCGCCTGGCCGTGAGGCCTCCAAGCCCCACTTCTGTGAGTCCTCTCACTCCGTGAGCCCCACCCTCACCCCCTTCTTCAAGTCGCTCGGCAGAAGCTGGGAGAGACTTTGCAGCCAAATGGAGCCTTTGATTGGTCAAACCCCGTCTTCCTGCACAGACAACACAGCTTCCCCTGAGTCCCTGCAGGAGCAGGGGAGGGGAGGAGGAAGGGAGAAGAATTTGAAACAGTTTCCAAACCTGCAGAAGAGGCCCCGCCCCCAGTACCTGATCCTGTGGAAGAGGCCCCGCCCCCCAGTACCTGATGGCTCCCCCACCTGCACACTGCACCCATGGCAACCCTCTACCCACAGAGCAGCCCCGAGGACTGGGTGCACAGCAGCCCTCACCTCCAGGGGAGGTGGGAGGGAGGCTCAGAGGGGCGTGGCGGGGAGGTCACTTCTGTTTCCTGACTTGTGTGATGGCTGCCAGGGTCTGCCTGGCAATCATCCATCAGAAGTGTGTGTGTGTGTGTGTGTGTGCGTGGGTGTGTCTGTGTTCCTGCAAGGTGGGGGTGAAGGGGTCGGGAGGGTGTGTGTGTGCGCGCGTGCGTGGGTGTGTCTGTTCCTGCAAGGTGGGGGTGAAGTGGTCGGGAGGGTGTGTGTGTGTGTGTACGCGTGCGTGGGTGTGTCTGTGTTCCTGCAAGGTAGGGGTGAAGGGGTCGGGAGGGTGTGTGTGTGCACATGCATGGGTGTGTCTGTGTTCCTGCAAGGTGGGGGTGAAGGGGTCGGGAGGGATACCCAATGTCACTACTAACTAAAGAAAGGCAAATGGAAGCCAACATGAGACGTTGACCTAATCACCTGGCAAAACCAGCGAATACCGACCGCACACAGTGCTGGCCGGGGCTCCCCAGGCTGCCGGCAGCTGCACAACTCGGAACTCTCGGTGCAGAGCCATTGGGCAACATATCAGAATTTAAAGTACACGCTCCCTGGATCCCGGCTGCTCTGCTGCTAAAACTTCTTCCTGGAGATAAAGCACCCGGGCCTCGGTGCTAATGGCTGGAGCCCCTGCAGCCCACGCCTGCCTCCTGCGGGAGCTCCTAGCCCCACGCCCTCGGCGTCACTCAGTCCGTCCAGCTTCTGTGGAGTCGGACCACAGAGGTCCTCTCACCCACAAACTTATACCTTCAAGGTTTGCCCATTTCCACGTTTTGGTCTTTGTTCCCATTTCTCGGGGTTCTCTCTGTCCTGTGCACAGGTGCCGAGCAAGCGCCTTCACCAAGTCCCAAGTCTGACCCAATGCGCCGAAGGCAACCCCAGCCTGGGAAACTTCTACGACTTATCTTCAAGTTCACTGTTCCTTCCTCAACACCTTCAGTCTATCGATGAACTCATCGGAAGCATTGTCCATCTCTGTTACTATGATTTTTATTTCCCAGCTTTCCACTTGCGTCTTTCTCACGATTTCCCTTGCCCTGTGTAAATCCCCCTCCTGTTCATGCATTATCGGCACGTCCTCGGCCAGAGCCTGCCGTGCCTTACCCACGGGCACCCGCTGCTCCCTGCCCCATTGCTCCAGCATCGGAATCAGCTTGCACAAACTTTGTACATCCATTTGTGGAGAATCAGCAGTGTTTAAGCTGGGAAAAGCAAGGGGCAGTCCCAGGTGTACACAGGTGTGTGTGTGTGTGTGTGTGCACGCCCAGCTCGTCTCTAGAAAGATGCTGGCTTTGGGGGACCAGAGGCCTTGGGTTGGACAAGAAGAGGTTGACTTTTCAATGTGTACTCTTGGAATTTTTTAAGTGTGCATTTCTCTAATTTTTACAATAAAACCGGCTGACTTTCGTAACCCTGGTTCAGTGTCATTCCCAACCAGCTCCCCGTGTGCCCGGCAGAGGCCTGTTGGCCACACCCCCGCCAGGTCGCTCACTTACCCACGCAGGTGAGGTAGAGCACCGCGTAGGCCAGGGGCCGAGGCTCGTGGCTGGAGTGGTAGGAGATCTGGACCTGCAGAAAGAGGGTCATCAGGCCAGTGGGAGCCAAGAGCCCCCACCCCAAAATACAGGCCTGGGAGGGTGGTAGGTGGAGAGGGTGAGGGTCTCAGGAACTTCTGCACACCAACCCAGCTCTTCCTTTAGCTTTCTCTGTGCTGTTTATAACTTCCCTGCCTCAATAGGCCCATCTGTATAATGGAACCTCATCCTAAGGGATTTTGTGGAGCCTGGGTCCCAGTGCTGCTGATAACCGACTGGGTGAGCCTCAGTTTTACCATCTGTGAAATGGGGAGTTCTACTAGGCAGGGTTGAGGGGCACCGTCCCAGCCAATGTTCTTATCTGTGGGTTCAGGCAGTCCTGGCTGCTCTGGGCTCGGTGACCTTGGCCAAGGACCTTCACCTCTCTGAGATGCCTCAGTTTTCAATATGCAAAATGGGGACCACAGAGCCGCTGCCTCTGAGGACCACAGGGCGGCTTAGACACGATACGTGTGAAGGGCTGGGCCTGCGGGCAGTGCCCCCGGGGAAACACGGCCTTCACTATCAGTGGGCAGGCGGCGGCTGTGTGCTCTGGAGTCAGCCTGGGCTCAGATCCCGGACCCCCCCATGGATATCCCGGGCAGTGGGGGGGGGGCTCGTCTTCTCTGGGTCTCAGTCTCAGCTGGAGGCTGGGGGGTGATTGCTGGCTGTGAGGACGGAAGGAGACACAGGTTTTGCTCTGCCCAGAGCCTGGAGACCTGCGGCCGAGGCAGATGTCGGGGGGGCAGACCTGTCTGTGTCCCCGGCGGCCACAGCGCTCCCCTGGAGGGGCCCCTCCCCTCCCCGACGGCCTCATCTCAGCTCGGGAGTCAGGAGCCACGCGTGCTCCATCCTGCAATTCCTGCCCCGGCCACGGTGCTCATCTCAGACACGCAGGGACCTGGACCCTGGCCCAAGGCAGGGTGGGGGAGGGGACTCAGGCCTTCTTCAACCCCAGCAGCCGTGGGGCCCAGGAACTAACTCAGGGTGGGGAGGCGTCCACAGAGCACCCTGTGATGGGACCCAGAGGGGGCCTCTCAGGCTGCCCCAGGACCCTGTCCTCACCCTCATTCCAACTCTGCTGCTCATAGATCATGGCAGCGCAGGTAAGCCACACTCCTTCTGTCTGTAAAATGGGCTCATTGAGCTGTGCTCAGGGGAGGGGCTCAATGGGAACAGAGGTGGCGGGATGGTGGGAGCTGCCCCAGGCGTCAGGGAGGTGGCCGGCTCTCCTGCCCACAGTGTGTGGCCCTGAACCTGGGGAGTGGGGAGCCGCTCCTGCCTCCAGGGCTGTTGGGGAATGGCCACCCAGTGCCCGGGGAAGGGCTGGGCGGGGCCCTGATGCCAAGCTCAGCGTGCCCGTGTCTTCCACGTCCTCCTCCCACGCTGACGGCATCAGCATCAGCGAGCAGGTTGGGGGACAGCGAGGAGAAGAGGCCCCTCCCAATCCACCGTCAGCCTGCAGATGCGGGCGCTGAGGCCAGCACAGCTCCTCCCCCAACAAGGCTTCTGGGGACTGGGAGAAGGAGCGAGCGCTGGCCGTGTCCGCTGCATGCCACCCCAAGGGAGGGGTGATGAGTACCCCCACGTCAGACAGGCAAACAGAGGCCCGTGTGCCGGGGACACAGAGTGTGTGTGTGTGTGCAGTCCGCTCCGGGGCCAGGAGCTCACCCACTGTGCTGCCCACACCCCAGAGGAGAGGACGCTGGGCGCTGGGTCTCGGCCCCGCCCACCGCAGAGGAGAGGACGCTGGGCGCTGGGTCTCAGCCCCGCCCACCCCAGAGGAGAGGACGCCGGGCGCTGGGTCTCGGCCCCGCCCACCGCAGAGGAGAGGACGCTGGGCGCTGGGTCTCGGCCCCGCCCACCCCAGAGGAGAGGGCGCTGGGCGCTGGGTCTCGGCCCCGCCCACCCCAGAGGAGAGGATGCTGGGAGCTGCATCTCGGCCCCGCCCACCCCAGGCAGGGAGCGCTCACATGACTGTCATTGATGTCGTTGCTGGGGGAATTCATGACCACGATGATCTCCAGCCCCTCGTCAAAGTGCCAGCGCCCGGTGTCCGCGCGCTCCCGGCTCCTCTCCACGCTGGGAGAGATGTAGATGTCCACACCGGGGGTCCCGTACACCTCGAACGTCTCTGTGCCCTCGGGAACCGACCTGGGAAGAGCGGGAGGCGTGGGAGGATGGTGCAGATGTCCGAGCTTTGGCTGAAGCCCTGCTTCCTCCAGGAAGCGTTCCCTGACTACCCCAGCCCCCGAGAGCCTCATGGTAAGCTCCTAGACAGCTGTGTCCACATGCTCAGGTCCAGGGCTTGGCACCCACTCACCTGTCCCCTGCTGTGGCCTCCCAGCAGAGCCGGAAGCTCCCGGGCGGCCAGGACCCAGCTGCCTCCTATCCTCCTGGGGCAGAGCTGGTGCCAAGAGCTCAGGGAACGGCAGTGGGCAGCGAGGGTGTTCCCCGTGCGGTTCCCTCCCCACGTGCCCCCGTGAGCCTCCATGGCAGGAAGAAGACAGCCTGGGTCCCCCCTGCACTTGCATAGGGGCTGCCCGCTGTGTGCCAGGCGCCTGCGACAAGCCTGCCAGGCGAGCGCAATCGTCCCCCATCACAGGCTCAGGGAGGTCTACTCACAGGCGCGGCGTCACACAGCCTCAACTAGCAGAGCCGGCTTTGCACGAGGTCTCCGAGGGGCGGAGCCCACGCCTTCCCACAGCTCTGCGCCACCGCCACCGTCTGGGGAACTTGGCCAGGCTCAGTGACGTCATCTGGCCCTGGCACCGCCACTCTGGGCTCCTGTGTGCAAACCAACCTGCCCGGCTGCTGCTGGCCTGCAGGGGGCCTGCTGCGCTCGCGGGTGTGGTCAGCCTTGTGCGGGTGCACCTCCCGTCCCCCCCACTGCCCGCTTCCGCTGGGGAACTGAGGCTCAACATTGCTCACGGCTGCCGGATGGGGCTCTGGGCTATGGAGATCCAGGTAGGGAGAGGCCCGGAAGGCTTCCTGGAGGAAGCAGCGCCCCCATGGCCCAGGGGGTTACGGAAGCCAACGCTGGCAGGGCCCTAGCACGGCCCAGCCCTGTTTCAGTGTCTTGTGCCACGCGACACTCCCAGTAAGCATCAGAGGCAGGCACTCGTGTTGCCTCCCGTTTCACAGATGGGGAGACTGAGGTCTCGTAGCTGGCAAGCAGCCCTCTGGCTCCCGAGTCCACACCCTCGCCGCCACCTCCCCAGGACAATAACAAGAATAACCCTAACTCCCAGGTCACCCATCCCCCCGCCCCAGCCAAGGTGGGCCTGGCCAAGCCTTCCCACCCCTCCGCTCTGAGCTCCTCAGTGCCACCCAGGAGGAGGCGCCGTTACTCCTATGCACACATGGGGAAACTGAGGCTCGAGTGGCCAAATTACGCCTCCAAGCTCGCACAGGTGGCCACCCACCCCAGCTCCCCTGGGAGGAAGGCAGGCCCTTCCCCGCACAAACCCGCTCCATTGGCTGGTCCTGCTCAGGTGCATGGCCCCTGCCCGGAGTCCTTGCCAGGTGGACAGGGCTCACACACCGGCTTCTCCCAGGCAAGGCTGTGGGATGCAGCAGACGAAGATCCGGAAGGCACTGCCGGACCCGACGCGCCCATCAACAGCAGACAGTCGTGCTGCCCTAAGTCCGCCCCAACGTTAGCCAGGGCGCGCGCTCTGCTAACGCTCCGTCATCGCTTTTGGATCTGGCCGCCCTGCTCTCAAACACCCGTCATTTCCTCTGGCCTGCCCCGCCCTGGGGGTGTGGGCAGCCCCCGTCAGGGACGGAGACTTAGACGGAGAGATGGGGAGCCTGAGACGGGCATCAGAGAGATGGGCTCAGGGAGCCAGACCCAGGTGAGGTGCTACCCCAGGGAGCACCCAGCTGCACCTACAGCTCCCCAGGCCTGGGGTCCTGGACCCAGGGCTGCACACCCCTGCCAGCCCCCCTGGTGGGAACCCCCCCTCGGCTGCGGGCCCCTCGCTGGGTTGGGGGTAACACAGTCCAGCTCCCCTGGCCCTCCCTGTGTGAGAGGCACGCGGGGGTGGGGGCTGATGAGGATGGAAGTGAGACCCCTCCCCAGGGCCGTAGCCAAAGAGGGCCTCAGGTGAAGGCAGACAAGGTGCAGCTGGGGCCACGGAAGCCCCGGGCTTGCCGAGTCAGGAATCAGGTTCCAGGTCAGGTGACCTTGGCTGAGTCACTCAGCCTCACTGGGCCCAGTCATCCCATCTGTGAAATGGGTTAATGACACTCCTTTGGCCAAGCTCATGGCAATCACTAGGCTCGCATGCGATGGCAGATAGGAGAGGCTTGGAACACCGCCCCGCCCAGGACGGGGAAGGGCTGTGAAATCAGTTGGGGTGCAGGAGACGGGAGGCTGGGGCGGGGTGAGAGAGAGGCCGGGGCGGCCGGGCGGGCTTCCTGGAGGACACCTGTTGGAGGGAAATCTTGTCTCATGGTGCCTCCTTGGGAGGCCATTTAGGCTCAGGGTTTAATGAGTTTGTTTTTATTTCATCTCCAGGTAATGGGCAGCTGCCGATGGCTCTTGATCGGGAGCAGCAACGCGACACAGCTGGGGCCAGGCGGATGCGCCTGGGGGCCCCGGGGGTGGACAGATTGCAGCCCCACCCCGCCCCCATCTGTAGGCGTGAGACCTCAGGGGGCTGACTCAGCCTCCCCCACCCCCGGTCTGCATCTGTCTGTACGCGAGCGGTGTGCACAGTGCACTCAGGACGAGCAAGTCTTGCCCCCATTTCTCTGTAGGGGAAACTGAGGGACAATGGGAGGCTGAGCTCCAGCCTCCGGGCCAGGGCCCAGGCCCCACCAGGGAAGCTGTGTCCCAGGAGGAGAGCCTGCGTCAGGCCCAGGAGGACCCAGATTTCCCACCTCCTTGAGCGTCAGGGAAGCATCGGAACCTCTCCTGGACCACGCTGACCCTCCAGCCGGGCCATGCCTAGCAGCCAGAGTGGCTAAGCCCCCCACACCCTGGCTTTGCCAAGCTCAGCCGAGCAGTCACACACAGGAAGCTGAGGACCCAGCTGCTCCTCCACCGGTGGGGACAACTGGTCACCTGGGAAGCGGCCACCCTCAGGCCGACCCTACTGAAAACGCAAAGCCCTAGAACCGGCAGTGCTGCAGACTGGGCCCCGGCCTCTGCTGCTCAGGGACTCGGCCTGGTCCCCGGGGCTGAAGGAATGGCCCCAGGCGACACCCCGACACTGTGCGCCAGCACCACGTGGTCTCCCTGGTGCTCCTGTGACAATGGGGGCAGTGGAGATGAAGGGGGCTCCCGCAGCCGACGGATGCATGAGCAGGTTGAAAATCCCAAAGGCTCCCAAGTCCCCAACGTTCTGAGCACTGGCTCGCTGCCAGAGCTGACCCCACGGGCCGGGTCACAGCAGACCACACTGTGTCGTCGCCCTCAGCCTGAGCGTCCCTGTGTCCGCGAGGCATAAATGGAGTTGGGGGTCAAGACTCGGGTCCCACCCCAAGCTATCTCATCATGCATATGCAAATATTCCAAAAGCTGGAAAAACCCTCCCTCTGAACCCCTTCTTGTCCCAAGTTATCAAAGGAGGGGGCTTCACCTGCACCATTAGCCCCACTTTACAGATGCGGAAACTGAGGCTTTGTGCAGGGCACAGAGCCAGGACTCACAGCCAGCCCTGTCCCCGCTCCCCCACTCTCCAGGCGCCCAGGGCCTTGGCCTCTGGGAAAACAAACCCAGACAATTCCGGAGCTGAGAAGCCGGTGGGCGAGGGCGCCATGGCTGAAAACAGAAGGCGTGACAAGAGGACCAACGAGGTCCCCTGTGAGCTGGCCTGCGGGGATGGAGGAGACAGAGACACGGCCAGCTGGGGCTCTGGGTGACAGCTCCGGCTGCCCCTACCCAATTCGCCAGGCTCGCAGATGCCCTCATCTGCCAGCCTGGCCCACGGAACCAGGTTCAGGAAACCACCGCCCTGCCTCAGCCGCACGCCCTCCCGAACCCGACCTGGAAAGTGACAGCCACACTGCCCTCTCCCCACACCAGGCAGTAAACACAGTGGGAGCTGCACCAGCCCCCGGCAGGCCCACGTCAGCCCACGTCCAGCGTCAAGTCAGGGAGGGGCAGAGCGCGAAACCCACTGCCCTAAGCCAACTCCTCAGGAGACAGGTGGAGAAACTGAGGCACAGGACGGCACAGAAAGTGGCTCAGGCAATGCAGCCGGGGTGACAGGGGCGGGACCAAAGCTCAGAGCGCCATGGTGCTGGCTCTGCCAGGCAACAGGTGGCAGGAGTTGCCTGCCCCTTGCAAAGACAGCAGCGCTGTCCACCCTGCCCCATGGCCACCCCGGGGGACCTCACCCGAGCCACGCTGCTGGGGTCCCCAGTGCACCACCTGAGCCAGGCGTCTGAGGTGGGGCCCTGGGCGTCAGGGTTGATCTCCAGGTCCCCCGGGCGGTTCCCCTGCGCCAGGGTGGGGAACTCCCAACCACAGCTGCCGGCTGCTGGCCAGGTGCGGCCCCGTGACAGCTGCTAAGGGAAGACGGAAGGAGGGGTCCACAGGCCAGGAAGCCAGCGGCAGCTCAGGTTTAGACCTGCCCATGGGGCCAGCGCTATGGTGTAGCCGGTCCTGCCGCTGCTTGAGGTGCCGACATCCCATATGGGTGCCAGTTCAAGTCCTGGCTGCTCCACTTCTGATCCAGCTCTCTGCTGTGGCCTGGGAAAGCAGTAGAGGATGGCCCAAGCCCTTGGGCCCCTGCACCCGTGTAGGAGACCTGGAAGAAGCTCCTGGCTCCTGGCTTCAGATTGGGCCAGCTCCAGCCGTTAGTGCGGCCATTCAGGGAGTGAACCAGCAGATGGAAGACCTCTCTCTACCTCTGCCTCTGTCTCTGTAACTACCTTTCAGAGGTCGCTCATTTGAACTGGAAGACTGCTCTGGCCCTCACTTGCTGTGAGATCCTGGGCCGGGGTGGGAGGGGAGAGGAGGGTGAGACCCCAGGGAGGGTTCCAGTGACCCAGTTGGGGACAGTCGTCCAAGCCTGTGGCCAGTTAAGAGGGCTCCTCAGCCACTGCGCAGTCACCCCCTGATGGACTCCAAGGTTTTCCCAGTGGTGTGGGAGGGCCTGGCAGGAACGGTTCCAGTCCCTCTCCCATCTCAACATTTGGCCACTGACCGTGACCTTGGCCCAGGTGGTCCCAGCACCAGAGGTCAGCCTGGAATCCTGACGTTGTCCATCGAGAACCAACTCGAAGCCCAAGTCCGAGACCCTCATCTCTAGGCTGAACATCGGAACCTCGAGAAAGAGCCATGGAGGGGCTGGCGCTGTGGCACAGCAGGTGAAGCCGCCGGCAACACCAGCAGCCCACACTGAAGGGGCAGTTCCAGTCCCAGCTGCTCGGCTTCCGATCCAGCTCCCTGCCGTGTGCCTGGGATCACAGCGGAAAATGGCCCAAGTACCGGGGCTCCCGCCACTCACATAGGAGACCAAGATGGAGTTTCAGGCCCCTGCTTTTCCAGCGCTGGCCACGGCAGCCCTTGGGTGAGCAAAGCAGCAGACGGAAATCTCTCTCCCTCTCTCTTTCTGTCCCTCTGCTTTTCAAGTAGATAAGAGAAATCTTTTGAAAAATAAAAACACAAAAGGTGGCCGGCGCCGTGGCTCAATAGGCTAATCCTCCACCTTGCGGCGCCGGCACACCGGGTTCTAGTCCCGGTCGGGGCGCCGGATTCTGTCCCGGTCGCCCCTCTTCCAGGCCAGCTCTCTGCTATGGCCAGGGAGTGCAGTGGAGGATGGCCCAGGTGCTTGGGCCCTGCACCCCATGGGAGACCAGGAAAAGCACCTGGATCCTGGCTCCTGCCATCGGATCAGCGCGGTGCGCCGGCTGCAGCGGCGGCCATTGGAGGGTGAACCAACGGCAAAGGAAGACCTTTCTCTCTGTCTCTCTCTCTCACTGTCCACTCTGCCTGTCAAAAAAAAAAAAAAAAAAAGAAAAAAAAAACACAAAAGGAAAAACTATGTAGAATGCAGGAAACCACCTGGGCTTTGGAACCTGATGAGTTCTGGGTTCAAGTTCAGCTGTGGCTTGAAGGACAAGAGGTGTCAAGCGACCAGGCCGTTGGGTCTTCATTTTTGCACCTGCTACACGGAGACTGTAATGTTGGCCTCCAGTCGAAGTGAGGAGCAGACGAGACGCCAGGCTCAGGGCACCCCTGTACCACCCCCTTCCCCTCCCCCCGTCCCCTGTCACGGCTCAAGAAAGAGAAGCTCCCACAGGCACCCTGGGCCAACTCCAGTGCATCGTCGTCAGGAACACAGGGCAGAGTCCACCGCAACAGAGAGGCCCAAGGTCTTGCCTATGCTCATTCTTCAAGGCACTCCTCCTCCAGGAAGCCTGCCCCGAGTGCTCCTCCTGCACTAGTCTCTGTTCTCAACCTCTCCTTCTCCCAGTATGGCTCCGTGGCTGTTCCCCAGCCATGAGGCACCTGGCAGGCCCGAGGACACTTGAGGCTGTCCATAGGGCCAGATATGGCCTGCAAGTGACAACGCTATGGGAGTGGCCACTGGCACAGGCTTGAGATGCTGCCCGGGAGAAGCACTCACACCGGGGCGCCGGGGTCTGAGCCCTGGCTCTGCTCCGCGTCCAGCTTCCTGCTACCGCACACTCAGGGAGGCGGCAGGTGCCGCCGAGCACTTGGGGCCCTGCCTCCCACATGGGAGACCCGGATGGAGCTCTGTGCTCCTGGCTTCCGCCTGGCCATCCCTGGCTGTTGGAGGCATTTGGAGAGTGAACCAGTGGACGGAAGATCTCTCTCTCTCCATTCCAAATAAAAAAAATACATGCAATTTTGATGATGATGACATTGATAATGGAGACAGTTGCCGTAACCAAGTACTTGCCCCCTAGCAGGTGCTGGCCACGTGTGCTATACTACCAGGGCCAACCTGGTAGGGTTGCATCTGGGCTCTGCTGCACACTGGCTGTGCGACCTCGGGCCACTTACTTAACCTCTCTGTACCTCAGTCTGCACATCCATCAAATGGATTCACATCTATCAAACAGATTGCTGTGAGAATCCCATCGCATACGTCAACCGCTCAGGAGAGCGAGCGCCAGGCACGGGCGCTGAGCGCTGTCGCTGGGGTTACCACAGTCTCCATTCTGCAGAGGGAGAGACCGGCTCCCCGGCTCAGAGCACAGCCACGCCTGCTGCCCTGTCTCTCCTCGGCCCCCAGGCTGAGCGCCTGGGGTTGCTAAATCACAGCCTCGCCAAGCCGGAAGGGGCCGTGGTGATCACCCAGTCCTGCAGCCTCCCCCCTGCCCACAAGAAGGTGGTGCGGCCTCTGCTAGCGCCCCCAAGGACGGGGTTCCTGGAGGGCAGTGGCTGTGCCCCGTGCGCACGCACCAGACCCCAGGGAAACCCCCGATTCCCGCCCATGTGAATGGAACGACCCAGGCGCTCACCACCACCTCCAGCACGGCTGGTCGCTGGGCCCCGGAGGCCCTCACATGAACTCCCTGGAGTCTCCACCCCCGCGCCCTGGCTGTGCCACTCGTGGCCCCCCCCACTCGTGCTCCCCCAGGACGTGGCTGCCTTTGCACCCCCCACCCAATGCTTCCTCTGCCCTCTAAGAAAGCTGCGTGGGGGAGCAGCCAGCCCCAGGCCTCCCGGGCAGGTCAGACTGGAGACACAGCTGCCCGACGGGCACGAGGCAGCTGGGCAGGTGAATCACCCCTTGGCCTGCAACCCCAGAGCGGGCGGCGGCGCCAGGCAGCAAGGGGCCCCTCCCCCCCCCACCTCTGCGGCTGCCCCATCTTCAGGAGCCACTGAATCCCCTTCCCACTCTGTTCGCCACCCCCTCCACCCACCCACCGCCCTCAGCCGGGCTTTAGCTCCTGGAGCCTGTTTGGGCTGTGCCTGCTCCAGACTTGGTTCTCTCCCGTGACCACCCCCTCACCCCTCTCATCCAATGCCCACGGACCAACCCGATGACTGCTTCCGTCTCAAGTTCACTCCAAGTTGTCAAGTCTGAATCTGGGATGCACCTTCTCAACAGGCAGGCAAGTCTGCCCCCTCAGTGCACATGGGACAACATCCCCCGTTTTGGCTGTCACAGTGGGAGGGGCAGGAAACGGTGGCCGGGTGCCTCTCAACACCTTGCCACGCACGGAACAAAGATGCCGAAATAGAGAAACCGGGAATGCGGACAGGGGTGGGAGACCAGAGAGGTGGGGACGGTCACTCGCGCCGCTGCTTCCTCCCAGCATCCTGGGTGCTGTCCCCAGTGCAGTCCCCGAGCTGGGACCCCAAACACTCCACAGATACCGTCAAAGCCACTTGGCGCAGCTCCCAGAGCCCAGCTCCTGCACCCCCTCCCCAAACCTGCCTTTTCTGCCTAGGAGAGAGAGGTGGGGACTGGCCTTGGGCACCACAGACACGGGGTGGGGGGTCGGGTCCTGGGAGGGAGGAGGAAATGCTGGGGAAAGCACCCTCCTGGGGCTGCAGAGCCGCGACCCGCCCAGCACCCCTGAGACGGCCGCGGGCGGGCTCAGCCCTTGGCTTTGCCACTTGGCTCCCATGTATGGTTTCTCGTCTGTCAGACGAGATGACACTAACTAGAAACCCAGCTCCTAGGGTGGTCCTAAGGGGTGCAACAGCACTTGGTGCATCGTGAGTGCCGTATTAAGTAAAACAGATTGGAAAAAAAAAAGATTGACTCTGTTTTGGGGTTGTAAACTGAGGGGTGACGAGGCTGGGTGTACACTTCTTCGTATTCCTGTGTGCCCCAGACAGACCCTCCCCCCCCGGCCCCCAGCCCAGCCTGCAGCATCTCTGCATGGAGGAAACTGTCGCTGCCCCCGAGCCCAGCACCAGCCACTGCAAGCCCCTTCTGCCCCCACAGTCTAACCTGGCTGCACCATGGCTAGGGAGTGGCCTGAGCCCCGAGGAAGCCCCAGCTCCCAGGAGGAGGGCCCAACGGGGCTGGCCCCTCTGGCTCTTACCCGTAGATGTCCACGAGAGTCTCCACGCCGGCCACGCACACGGCGCTGGTGGGGTGCTCCAGGGACACACGCACGATCCTCTGCAGCGACATGCTGGCTGCACACTAGGCTTTGGCCACCAAACCCAGCACTGCCCCATGCCCCCTGGGACGCAGTTATGAAGTCTCTGGCCCCACCCCTCCAGCCTAGGGTGCAAGCCCATTGGCTCCAGTCCTGGAAGCCCAACCCCTTCCCAGAGCGGAGAGTTCAGGATTGGCTAGAAGGGATCTGAAATTTGCATATGAATCTTGCCCCCTCCCCAGCACCTGAGAAGTTAATTGCTACAAAAGAGAGCAAGTTCCCACAAGTACTGGGCCAGGGCCCCGGGGGACTGCTGGGGGTGGCAGTGGGGTGTTTGGAAGGAGGGTGTACAGGGGTGGGGGGCGCTGACTTAGAGCCTCCCTCACTCCCTTTCCTGCAGGCTCAGAGACAAAGTGGTTTCAGGGGTGTAGCCTAGCATGTGGATTCATTTTTTTTTACCAGCACCCAAAATGTGTTACTGCTCTTTGCGTGTGGATTTGAGAGGTGGAAGTGGGCCCCACCTCAGCCCTCTCCTGGGCAGCTCTGTCGCTCGGTGCCTCACCTTTTACCTGAGAAATGGCCGCTGCGAGGCTTACACGGGCCGACGCCGGCGAGCGCCAGTGTGGGGCTTGGCATTGTTTTATCACTGTCATTGTCATCGTCGTTATCAGATGCAGAGGCTGGGATTTCCCTAGGACCAAAGGGAGCTTGCGACGTCTGGCAGGTGGGGAAACTGAGGCCTGAGTGAGCGTCCATGCTCTGGCACAGCAGGAGCAAGGGCTCCGAGCAGAGGAGGCTTGGGTTCAGACCCAGGCTGCACGGCGCCCTGGCTGTGTCACCTTGGGGGCTCTTGCCCCCTCTCTCGGGGCCTCAGCTTCCTTGCCTGCAGACAATGTGGTCAGCACCAGCCCTGGAGGAGGTAATGGCGGGATGCACAGGTGCTGAATCCGGTTTCCTCTCCCGCCTGGTGGCACTGCGGGTCTCAGGCAGGGTCCCTGGTGGGAGCTGCTCCCCGGAGACCTCGGCAGGTGCGTCGGCATCAGCCCAAGCATCTCAGGACACCAGACTGTGTGTGTGTCCCTGTCCCCGGAGAGCATGGCTGCTGGGACAGTGTGCTCTGTTCCGCTAGAAAAGGTGGCCAACTGGGCTCTGCAGGAAGCCGCTGGTGCTCTCCCCAGCCTGCTTGTGCGCACAGCTGCGGCATGGACAGAGAAAGCCTGAATCCTGCCGGAACCCTGCGGGCGGGCAGAGCCGGCCTCCTGCTCAGAGCCCTGGGTCTCCCCAGGCGATGCCAGCCCTTAGAAGCAGGCCTGTGGTGCGCTCAGACTAGAGTCAATGACTGACGAGCAGCAGTGATTTGCCTCTTAGTCCACAACAAAAGCTAAAATAAAGTGAGCCCGTGAGTGAGCGAGCAAGCAGGTGTTAAGGGTGTCGTCTGAGGTGGCGGCCAGGAGGGGCTAAGAGAGGCGGTATTTTCAGCCACGGAAACCAGGCCACCAAGGCTGCGCACGGCAGAGATGAGAGGGCCCGCGCCCTGGGCACCAGCTCTCTGCCAGCAGGGCCCCCACCCCTCCTCAGCTTCCTGGAGAGGAGGAGGAGACAGAAGAGGGGGGGGGCAGCCCTGCCCCACCTCCATCACAGCAGGGCAGGTGCCCTGGGGGCAACAGGCGGGCGTGTGCCAGCCACACTGCTGAGTCAGCCCCACTCCACCCCAGGGCCTCGCGGGCGCTGGGGGCTCTGGCAGCCGCGTCAGGGCTGCCTGTGGCCCACAGAAGTTGCACCCAGGAGCAGGTGGTGGGGGTGGGGGGAGCATGGGAAGCCCCTTCACTTTCCTCCTATCCTAGAGCCCAGTAACGGAGGCCACGGAGGCAGCAGTGAGAGAAACACACGTGGACGTATTTATTGACGGGGAAGGAGGCAACTGGTCACCCAGCGCACTTGCAGAGCGGACCCAGGGCCCCCGGAATGGCTTCGGCAGCGACCCCGGAGCGTCCCCCACTCGGTGGGCTTCCACCGGCCCCACCCCCCTGCCTGGTCCTCCCTGCCCCCAGCCCCTTCTCTGTGGAGTCCCAATACCCGCCTCACGCCCTCCACCCCCGAGAGCTCCTTTCTCCTTGGTTCAGCCCGGGTTGGATCCTGATCCAGTTATAGCAGGAGCTTGCAGATGGAGTTCCACAGAACCTTCTAGAAGGGAGGATCCGGATTCCTGCCCACCTGCTCTAACCATTGCAGACCACGTAAACCTGTGTGCTGTGTTCCGTGTCTCAGTCTGAGGTCTCACCAGGGGCCACCAAAAACCCACGCCGGCAGAAGTAGCCCCCCAGCCGAAGGGGGCGGGGGCAGGCTAGCCGCCTCCTGTCCATGCCCAGCCAAGCCCGCCTGTGCACATCAGGGTGACCTCACCCCGGGCTGTTAACCTCTGGGGCAGCTGTGTCTTCCCCTGTGGGAGGGCACATGGCTCGGCCAGGGGTTTACTCACAGGTGAGACTCAAGCTATGTGCAGGGTCCCCAGTCGCTGGGAGAAAACCTCCCAATTCCTCCCCTCCTACTGCCTGCAGCAGGAAGGGGAGTAATTAAAGAGCATTAGAGGAAATTAACCCCGCCTGCAAGATAAGCTGATGCCTCCCACCCTCTTCCAACACCTGGGCCCCTCCCTGGCTACATCTGGACCGCCAGCTCCGCTCAGATCCAGAGCCAGGTACCGGGGATCCAGGAGCATCCGGGCTGGAGATCCCCCGGGCGCCCCCTGCCCTGCCCGCAGTCCTGGCCTCCTGCACCCCCACCCTGGCCTCCTGCTCACTTTGCCTCTCAGCGATCCTGAGCCGGAAGCCAGGACTCTCCTAATTAAAGGCTCAGCCAATGGTAACAAGCACCTGCTGAGCATGGAGTTGGGAATTAAAGGGTTTGCTTTGCTTTTCTTTCTCCTGTTTGCCATCAGGCCCAGGTGCTGAGCTGTCCTGCGTCCGGGTGCCTACACACAGGCGGAGGACGCTGGGGTCACAGCCTCGGGGGCCCCCAGGGAGGAGACAGCCGGTCTAGCCAGGAGGACCACCTGTGTCTCCCCTGCTGTGTTCTGAGAGCCAGAGCATCCTGGAGGCAGGGCCTCACCGAGACCCCACGGACCAGAAGGTCCAGGAGAACCTGGGGCAAACCCAGAGTCTCTCTCCCTGCGCCCCCGGCAGGCGTCCGCATAGAGCGGCCGCGATTCAAGGTGAGGGCTGCCCGCCAAGGCCCCTCGCAGCCCTTCTCGGACGTGCTGAGGCTGCTGGTCTTTTTCCGGAACATCTGGGGGCTGTGGTCAGTCCGTCCCAGGTTGGGTGGGGCCAGCTCCAGAGTCCAGGCGGGGTGGTGTCCGTGCGTGCTGCAGCCCCAGCGCCCAAGGTGGCCAGCACACTTGCAGGCACTGGGCTGGCGGGGGTGGGGAGAGCGCCAAGTGTCCCCCAGGAGGGCAGCGAGGACGGCTGGTGGGGGGCGCTCAGGGCTCCATGTGCCACCACTTGAAGGCGAAGGGCTTCCGGCGCACGTTGGTGCCGCAGTGGATCTCCCCGAGCAGCTCGTGGTAGGACAGGAAGTCGTCGATGAAGACGCAGCGCAGGCCCAGGGGCTCCAGCAGGGACCGCACCCTCTCCTCCAGGCAGCAGCGGCCGTCGATGATGGGGCCGTAGGGCTTGGGGATGCCCAGGTACTTGCCCAGCACCACCATGTTCACCTGCGATAGAGAAGGCAAGGGGGAGGCTGCCTGGCTGTGGAGGCTCCACACGCGCGGCTCCTACCGGGCTCCGGCTGCTGCCTCCCCCTCCCAGGGCCAGGGCCAGCCCCGCCAGCATTCCTGGGCCCCCAGGTCTGTAGCTCAGGAAGAACCAGAGTGGAGGCAAGCAGAGAAGAAACAGATGGGTGGTTTCGAGACTCTGTAACAGCCAGAGCTGTAGGAGAAAGCATACACTTGGCAACTTTGTATCAGTCAAAGCCTCGCCTTCCTCCAGCACTCTCTTCCATCTACTAGGAAATCACCGGTTATAAGGACTTTGTTAGAACAAGAGATTTCGCTGTCACCTGCCAGAAACTTGTGCAGTAAGTATGCACTCTGGACAAGGCCTACAGTGCGATGTCCTCACAAGTGTGGTGTGCTTGTGCAGTGCACACCTTGTTCATCTGTTCTTGGCAGCCCTGATCATTGTTATCGTTTATCGAGCCGTATACACACAGCCTCTAAATCTCACAACCTCCCTCTGGGGCTGGGGCCACATGATCAAGGCCACATGGCCAAAGGCTGGGGAGATGAAGACTGGAACTTGGATCTGACCCCTGCTTTCACACCCTGCCCGAGTGGGGCCATGTGCGGGGATGAGGCGCTGGGGGAGGGACTGGGAGCCCCTGGGCCACCTAGTGCATCTTGGTGGTTCCGCTCCTTCCCGCCGTGGAGACCTGGCTTGGGCTCTAACTGGGAAGGGCACTCTCCCCAGCGCAGGGGTGGGGGCTTCTGAGGGTATCTCAGCTCCAGATTGACAGCTGAGGTCAAAAGGCTGTCTTTGGGGCTCAAAGGGGACTCTGGACCCCGTGTCTGGAGGGCAGTCCTGGGTTGTCTCCAGATGGGGTGGGCTGTCTGGGACTCCTTGCCTTCAAACTCCCCACGCCCTGGCCCACCACCCTCAGGTCTGCCCTGCAGGGCCACCCACGGTTGAGGCAGCTGCAGGGTCCCTGGGGGCCAGTGCCATGCGCTATCTAGTTGCCAACCAGTGCTGGGGTGGGGGGGAGGCAGGAGAGGAAGAGGAGCCAGGCCGCGCCTCCGCTTCTTCCCTGGCGACAAGTCAGGAGGGTGGGGGCTGGCACCCGCTCTGCTGCCTGTGCTCTGTCTGGGGGCCTCAGTTTCCCCATCTGACGAGCAGGGAAGCCAGCTGAGCGCCCCCTAAGGGCCCTTGCAGTGAGAAGGGACTGTGGAGATTCCCACAGACAGGGAGGCTGTCGGGCGGGGCCCCTGCCCCAGGGAGGGCTGCCCAGGGTCGTGGGCTGTGGCCTTGGCCCTGCCCCACCCTCAGTGGGTCCCCGAGCGCTTCGCCGTCCACACACAGCTGCTCACGCCCAGCTTCACGGTGAACGAAACGGATGCTTCCGTTATTAATCCACACGCGAGCGCCCCATGGTCACACAGGCGACCACGTGGTCCACGGGGCCCTGACACAGCTCGTGGGAAGTGCGCGGTGTGAGAAAACCAGGCCTAGCTTTCAGCCTTGTCTGCAGCAAATCCCACTTCGGTTTCCGTTCCAGGGGTGCACAGCTGTCTGCCCCCTGGATCCAGAATCTTCTCATCCCAGGAAGTCCCGTGGCCGCACGGCTTTGCAGGGTTCTCCCAGCTCCAGGTGCCCTGGCATCCGGTGGGCAGAGGCCAGGGCTGCCATCAACGCCCCACCCGGCATCGGGGCCTCTGCCCCTGCCTCCAATCCGCACCTAGACCCCAGGATCACTTCCGACCTTCGGCTTCTCCGAGAAGAGGGATTTCAGCTGCAGCAGGGCTCCCCCACCCCTCGCAGCTGCCACCGCCTGGCTTCCCTTCCCGAGGGCTTAATGGGTGCTTGGGCCAGGCCTGCACCTGTACCACCAGCATCTCCAGGTGACAGGCAGGTGAGATCACACCTGCTCACACTCGCCAGCTGCCCCGGGGAATGAGAGCCGGAGGCCTTGCCTGTGCCACCTGCACGGCTGCCCTACCCCAGAGTTGCCTTGGAGAGCCACACGGTGCCGGGCGCGGGGGGCGGGGAGACAGCCGGGGTGGGTGTACAGTGTAGGCAGCCGAGACCCGGAAAGGAAAAGCTGAGACATTCAGAACCCGGCTGTGCTTTGGGGGCAGGGGCTTCCCTGTGCCCCACGGTGTGTCCCTGCCCCGTACCCACTTGCTCCCAGACAGGTGCACCTGCCTCATCGTGACCAGCAAAAATGCCACATGGGGGCAGGCGCTCAGCCCCCCTCTCCCACCATCCAGGAGCGGCCAGGTTCAATCCCCACCACAAGAATTTGCTCCTCACTCCCCACCGTGCAGTCCCCACCTCCAGCTGCCAGCAGAGACCCAGAGGCGGGGTCTCCCCCACCCCCAGCACCCCCGCTGTTTGGGCTGGGGAAATCCCTGGCCATGGGCGCCGCCCTGTGCAGTGCGGGTGTGTATGGCAGCCCTGGCCTCTGCCCACGGTGCCAGGAGCACCCGCCTCGTTGGGACACCCACAGTGCTACACCCCTGGCTCCGGCTTCCTGCGGGACGGTTCGGTTCATCAGGCTCCTGCCACCGGCGGGGGAGACCTGGAGCCGGGGCCAGGCCTCAGCCCGCCCAGTCCCGGACATTGTGGGTATTGGGTAGTGGACCAGCAGGGACGAATCGGTCCTGGTTAAGAACCATGCAGGGAAATGGTCTCTGTCTACACACATGCATGTGCACACACACATATGCACATGCACAAACACAATGCACACACGGGGGGGGCACACGCCCCTGGCCGCAGGGGAAGCCTCTCACCATGTCGGGGAAGAAGGCTTCCGCGTAGGAGCCCTTCAGGGTGAAGAGCTGCGGGATGTCCACGATGTCGCTCTCGGTCAGGCCCAGCTCCCGCTTCAGCACCTCGCGGTTCCAGTCAATGCACTTCTGGGGGCGGGAGGGGGCAGGAGGGCTCTAACCCTGGCCGGGCACCGGCTGTGCACAGCTCAGCTCAGCTCCGAGGGCCTGCGCAGGGCAGCAGCCGTTGCCATCCCCCGAGGGGGCGGCTGGGAAGCGGCAGAGCTGGTACCTGGACGGAGCAGGTTCTGGGTCACTAGGACACCATCCCGGCCTCAGCCACAGCACGGTGCACCTGGGCAGCTGGGGGCAAGTGCCCAGCCCCACTGGGAGGCGTCTCCTCCCACTCACTGGGCAGCGGCACTACCCTTGGGCAAGTCCTGCCCCTTGCTGAGATCCCCAGAGTACAGCAGACCTCCCTCATCAGACTGGGAGCTCCCTGGGGACACAGCCCTGTCTCTTCCATCAGACTGTGGGCTCCTGAGAGCAGAGACGCTATTCTACTCACAGGTCCCAGCCACCCCAGGACCATCAGAGACCCAGGGCTGAATCCTCCGCCCATCCCCACAGCTGCTGGGGGAGCTCCTCCTGGGAGGGTGGGGGACCCCTTAGAGCAGCCGGTGGCCCTACTGTGCGCCAGACTGCGTGCACCTGTGCGTGGAGATTGTCGCTCCTGAGACGCCTGTCTGCCAGCATCTCGTTGATGCTCCTGTTTGCCTTGTGTTTTAACCCTGCAAGAGAAAGACAGGACTGGAGCTGCAAAATCCAGGCCAGGATTTTCCTCCTGCCTCAGAGCCAGGCCTCAGGGAAGGAGATGGAGACCTGGAGACCCTGCAGAGGGACCAGGCTGCGGCTGTGGGTAAAACCTGGTGACGGATTCACAGACCCGTGGGCAGGGACTTCTGTGTGCTGAGCCTAGTAATTACAGCACCAGCTGCTGTTACCAAACACTCACCGTGCCCTGGGAGCCCTGCTCAGTTCGTTACTGAGCTTTAAAAGAATCCTTGGAGGAGTTAGTTATGACCTCTGAATCAGAGGCACCGAGAGGCAGCTCCGACCCCAGCCTTGATCCCAACGCAGCCAGCGGGCGGCAAGACCGGGATCTGAACCCTGTTCTTCCCAATGCTCCACTCCTCAGGTGAGAACACTGCAGTGGGGGCGGGACCAGGGAAGTGGGCAGGTCCTTGGCAGGTAGGAGGGGCGGGGCCTGTCAGTTTCTGGGCCTCCGAGCCTGGCTCCTCCTCCTCCACGCCCCCTTGAGCCCTGCTATCCTCCCCTCATCCCCCCTCCCCCACAGCTCCACAGCCCCAGGAGAGGAACCTCAGGCTCCTCTCAGCCTGGAAGGGGGTGGGAGGGGAGACAGGCGAGCACAAAGGGGCCTGGTGCACACAGGCACCCAGGCACCCCGGTCTCCTTTGCTCTCCCGGGGTGTGCCTCAGAAACCGCCCTGCCCCACCCAGGAAGAGCCCTGGCCCGCAGGTGTCAGGGCAGCGCCGTGGGCACTGTCCTGGAGAGCACCTGGTGTGACCGGCTGTTGTCACTCACCCTCAAACTGGGCCGCCTCCCCGTGGCCCTCCTCTCTCTTCTCGTGGAACAGCTGGAGGCAAGCGCTCGGGCTGGCCAGGAGCAGCCGGAAACCCTGGCACAGGGGGAGGGAACAGCTCAGGGGGCAGCCTCCCCCAAGACACAGGAGACCCCAACTTCAGGAGGGGCCCCATTCAGGCCGGGCATGGGGCACCCTTCCTCCCCCATCCTGCCGCCAGCCCCGAAGAAAATGTCTGCTATTCCCTGGTCCCCCAGCCTGCAGCCCTGCCCTGGCCCTCCCAGGTGCCCCCCAGCCTGCAGCCCTCCCCCAGTCCCCCCAGCTGCCCCCCAGCCTGCAGCCCTGCCCCACCCAGCCACCGGGAACCCGGCTCGCCCTTCCACACCCACCCAGGTGTCTCCTGCCTTTTAGGGCAGCAGCTGAGCTCCCTTGCAAGTGTACCTGCTACCCCCTGGGAGCTCGTACCCCGCTGGGCTGGGCCCCCGGGCCCCCGGGATGCCCCTCCTCGCTCCCTGAGGGCCACCCCCTCCCCGGTCACCTCCGCAAAGCAGCAGAGCGCAGTGGTTAGTGCAAAGACCTGGCCCCTCCGCTCTGAATTTGAATCCTGCCCTGCCACCTGCAGGGCCTCAGTTTCCTCACTGGTAAAATGGGTACAACAGTCACTGCACACATCTCGTGGGCTTGCTAGAGGATTAAGCACTCAGATGAGTGCTTGGCACACAGTAGGTGCTCAGCAAATATCCCCAGCGCGCGCCTGGTGGCTGGGGCTTTGGGGGCAGGCGCACAGCCAGGAAGGGTGAGAACAAGGGCCCTCGTAGTCGGCCCAAGAGCAGCCTCCGCCCGAGGCTCTGCCCTCCCCCCAGGGCGCAGCTGGTCTCAGCCCTGTCACAGCCGGCGGGGCAGGGCCAGGCAGGAGGCGGGGACGCACCTTGGGGTCGGAGGTGGGCACGAAGCTCAGGAACTCGTCCACGTGGCCCACGGACAGCCAGCTCGAGTACAGCTCCACCGGCGGCTGCACCCGCTGGGCCTGCAGGAAGCCGCGCAGCGCCTGGGCCATCCGCCGCCCGCCGGACCTGGCCACGGAGGGACGGGCAGTGGTCACCCCGCAGCACTTCTCGGACGGCCCCTCCCCCCCACGACCCTCTGAGCCGGTCCAAGGGGAAACTGAGCCCAAGCGACTCAACGGGGCTCCCACAGCTGAGGAGTGACAGGGCCAGACCTCCCTGATGGCCAGTGGCACTGGGAGCAGGGGGGACCCCCAGGGGGGGACAGGGGGTCGACACGCCGCGGGTCAGGCCTGTGCCAGCACCGAGTGTCAGGGCGGGGCCGGGACCTGCCCCAACCCCTAGGTGCTCCCAGGAACCTGGCCCCTGTCCTGTCTGTCTCCCAGAGCGCCTGCCCCACCCCCACCCCGACCTCCTCCTTGGGGCCCAAAGGAATCCCAGGAGACAGCTGCATGGACCAAAGGGAGTGGAAGACCCCCGGGGCCCAGCCCGGGGTTCAGGGCAGCGGAATCCTCACTCAAGGGACACACAGCCTTTGGCTCCAAGCAGCCCCTGCTCAGTCCAGCGAGTCCCCGGGGTCAGGGGCTGGCAGGGGCAGGGCTTGTGGCCCCCACACCCCGCACGCCACCATCCCCAGGGAGGCGGCCCAGGAATCTGCATTTGCAGAAGCACCTGCTTCCCACACGTTCTGGTTTGAGGACCCTGCCCCGGGCACCCCGTGCTCAGCACTGTCCAGTCCCCAGGAGTCCCTGACAGGGGGCAGGGCCCCTCCAGAACTCCCTTTGCCAGTGGGGGGGTTGGCATGGAAAGAGGGGGCTGGGGCAGGGGCAGGGAGCAGGACTGGAATCCCCGCTCCGGGGGAGAAGACGTCACCCAAGGCCACGTGTGCATGGAGGGACCCCCAAGATGTCTTAGGCAGGCAACATCCCCATTTCACAGACCAGGCGGCGGAGGCTGAGGGAGTGATGTCACAAGTCAGAACGTCGGAGCTGGCGCAGGGGTGCAGCGGGTTCAGCCGCTGCTTGCGACCCCAGCGTCCCAGGCTGGAGTGCTGCTGGGAGCCCCAGCTGCTCTGCTCGCGATCCGGCTCCCTGCTGGGGGCGAGCGGCAGAAGGCGCCCCAGGGCTGGGGTCCCTGCCACCCGCCCGGGAGACCCAGACAGGGTCCTGCTCAGCCTGGCTCACAGCTGGCTGTTGTGGCCACTCGGGGAGTGAACCAGCGGCTGCAGGATCTCCCCAGCCCTCTGCCTTCCCGATAAACAAATCACTTTTTTTTTTTTTTAATCAGAATGTCTCGCTGCATTCCCCCCTTGCCCTGGCCGCGCCGCGCGCAGACACCAGCACGCGCCCCCTGCACAGACAGCGCTGTCCCGTGCGCTTACTGAGAGGGTCACGTCTCGCCTCGCACTTGCTGGCCCGGCCTGAGGACTCGACTCGGACAAGAACCCACGCCAGCTCCCGACCTCAGACGCAGAGAGCAGTCCTGCCACCACCACGCAGCCCGCGGACACCGACTCAGCGGCCTCTCTCCCTGCTCAGACCACGAGGAGACCTGGCTAAACCCCGGGGTCACTGCCATCTCACGCATGGTAGCTGCAGGACCTCACGGGGCCCCTACGAGGCCTCTGCCCGTCCCCCACCGACCCGGGGCTCCACCTCCCCAGCGCACTCTCTGAAGGCTGCAGCGCCCCCTAGCGCCCACTCCGGCCCCACCGCTCTCTGTTGCACCAGGGACCACCTGGCCTTCCTGGGTCTCGCTAGTCTCTCGCCTCCACCCCACTGGGCTGTGAGCTCCAGGAAGGCCGGGGTCTCTAAGCTGTTCCTGCCACAGCCTCAGCTCCACCCCCCGCCCCGAAACCACGGGATTGGAGGCTCTGCATAATACACAGCCCACGGTCCCCACGAACTGGCACGTGCCACAGACCCCCTGGACAGTGACGAGTGAAGGTCCTGACTCGAAGGTTGGGCTGGATTACAGGAAAGATTTCTCTGGGGTTTCTGTTATTTTAATCTCGTGTTGGCAACTTTAAAGGATGTATTTCAAAACAGTGAGAATGTGTTCCTAAGGAAGCAGCAGGAACCCAAAACAGATAAGGTTGGGGATGAGGAAGCCCCCCCACCCCCACCCCGGGTGCTCTCAGCCCTCTGCGTGGTGGGCAGGGGCATGGACGAGATGACTCCAGCCCAGAGGAGGCTCTGTCTCCGAGTCATCCTCAAAGCCACCACTAGGTGGCAGAGTTGCTCAAAGAACATTTCCAATTCGGCGTGCAGAGGGTGCAGACCCCAGGCCTGCAGAGCC